TCATCAGAGTTTGTTAGCATAGATTTTGAGTAACTTTTTAGAGGATTTAATACGATAGCTGAATATTTAGACAATTCATAAGTAGGTGAACTGAACCTAATAAACCGCATATTATCACCGATGATATTCTTAAGTTTGGTGAACTGGATTATGCTCCAGATTGTGCTTAGGAGTTAGGAGACAGGAGTACTCTGGACGACTGACAAGAAGACTCCAGAAGATTAGATTTTACAGATGATGCATGTCTAATGTCACACAAACTCGAAGACTTACAGGCGAAAACCAACAAACTTGCTGAAGAACCTGGTAGGCAGCGAAGACAGGACTTCAGGTGAACATAGAGAAGGTGGAGGTGGTGAAGATAATCAACGAACAACCACAACAACAGCTAGTACCAATCAACATCAACGGGGGAGATTTGCCAGAGATTGGTTCCTTCACTTATCTAGGAAGCATCGTTTTAACTATAGGTGGAGGGGATGAAGACGTCAAAGCCAGCCAGGATCAGAAACGTACGATACACCTTCATCAACCTGAAACCAGTTTGGAAATCTGCTACACTGCGTGGCATAAACAACGAAATTCGCATTTTCAACAACCATGTCGAGTAGGTCCTTCTATACGGGTCAGAAAATTGGCGTGTGCTTCACGAAAAGGATTTCCAACAGACTACAGCCGACTTTTATCAGCTGCTGACTTCGATAGCTCCATACTGAAGATCAAATGGCCGGCTAGGAAGAATTAGTGACAAGAAATTCTGGCTGAAGACAAACCAACTAAGAGACTATCTCTCAAAAAACATGTAAGAAAAAGTGGAGATCAATTGGACATTCAAGGAGGAGTCCGTCGAATTATATCGCGCGTCAGGCCATCGAGTGGAATCCCAAAGGGAAGTGGCGAGTGTGTCGTCTTCGGCTGACATGGTGGAGATCGTGTCGAGAAGACATGATAGATTATGGGCAATCGTGGACCTAAGTGAAGAGGACGACAGAAGATGGGACAATGTGGAGATGTGTTGTTGAAGCCGTATGTTCCACTCGGAACTCAAGGGAATAATAATAATAAGTAGGTTAATTTCTAAAATCATCTATAAGTCTAATAGGGTATCCTGACTTTTGTCCGTTAACAACACCATACATCCTACTGAGGTAGAAACTGTCAGTAGAGCAATTGGGATTTCGTCAATTATCTTGTAGATAGAACTCCTGCAAGCAAGTAGCCATGATCATCTTGTTGAACTCTGCTTATACTGTTTATACTATCTCATATTATCTCATTGGGGAAGGGAATTTGGAAGTAATTGTAGAAGGCTTTATGCGTCGGTGGCACAGTGGTTAGGACTCTCACCAACCATGCACATGGTCTGAGGTTCGATCCGCTGCCGACGCACACCTGATATCTATGGTCAGCCTGCAAAATTTGGGCTACCGATATCACATGCTGAAAATTCCATACCTGTACTAAAAATACTGTGTGGAATTAAGCTGTAATCAAAAATCGAAAAATCGAAAAAATGTTCAAATTGTGCGTCGATGGCACAATGGTAGAATACTCGCCAACCATGCAGGTGGTTCAGAGTTCGATCGCCAGCCAACGACGCACTACTTTACTTCGCGAAGACGGTGACAAGACTGATAAAGAGTGAAGGTTGGGCATGAGACTGGCAACCCCACGCCGTAAAAATAAACACTGCTACTGAAACTTCAAGCCTCTAGTGTGAAGCCCTATGTTCCACTGTCAATATGAAGGTATAAAATTTATGTACGGATACCTTATTTGACATGCACCTTATGTGATCAGAAAAGTATAAGGCATGAAACTTCTAACTTGCTGAGAAACACTAAATAAGCCTCCATTTTAATTCTTTCATGCATTAATCTATTGTTGTTAGTTTTCCCGCTTCCATTTCAAACTTTTACGATCATATTCTTATTGACATGATGATTATTTTTTGAAAACTATGGAGGAATTACTTTTACTTTGTCCTGCACCTTCGCCTAAATCCTTTAATGACCCTAAACAAATTGCCTAGAAGCACAGTAGAAGCACTTTGGATGCAGCTGCCGTCTTATATCATAACATTGCTTCCAGTCTAGACAAGGGGGCTAAATTTGTTCGTTGTGCCTTCCGAGACTATACATCTGCTTTCGACTCGGTCCCTAGGGACATCTTATTAAATTAACTTGCTGCAAGTCAAACAGAATGTTGGGCTGCTAACCCGTACACCATGAATAAAGGGAGGTCTTGCACTTTTTTGCCTACTGAAGCTGGTGTCCCTCAAGGCTCTGTCCTTTCTGCTTTTCTTTTTTCTTTCTTCTTACATGACTTGCCTCACTCTGATGAAATAAACTTTGTGAAGTACGCTAATGATTTAACGGTTAAAATGGCTGTTAACACCCAGCTAGATTGTACCAAAATAAATAGCTTTCTGTTGGGAGTCAGGAAATGGTCTGAGTCTAACGGCCTTAAACTGAATCTTTCTAAATGTCAAACTGTTAATTTCAGCTAAAGATGTAAACGACAGTTAAAAGAAGCCGTCGATTCTCATGACAGTTTTAAGATTGGAGACAGTTATATAGGAATCAAATCAGAAATTAAGTATCTTGGACTTATTATCTCTTCTGATCTCTCCTGGTCTTCCCATGTCTCAGCGATCTCCAGTAAAATATTCCGCCTGACATTTTACATTAGGAAGTTAAGGCGCTCGGGTATAACTCAACTGCTCTTCTTACAGTTCATAAACTCTTGCATCCTACCTATTCTTCTTTGTTGTTCACCCTTATTCTTTCCTGGTTTGTTTAAAATGGACTATGTCACAATTCGTAGAATGCTGAAGACTGTCAGTTAGTTGATTGGTGTCCCAGTGGACCACATAGTTAATAGTTGATAGGCACTTGACTTCGTGCAGTTAATTTGCTAGAGGGATTTTGTCTGACTTGCAGCATCCACTTTACCCTCAGCTTTCACCTTGCATCTCCTCAGGTGGAACAAGAAGTAACTTCAGGAAACTGTATGCTCGCACGTCTAAGTATAAAAATTCTATGATACCATACTTGGCACGTATTTTATGTGATGAAAATAGTGTCAGGCAAGAATTATTATATGTGTAAAACTTGGGCACTGTGGTAGTAAGTAATTCCATATTAGTTTGTTTATTAGGTACATCACACAGTGAAACAGTATTATTTACTGGATGACGTTTCGAACAAAATTTTTATTGTTCATAATCATATCAGTTGTGATCACACGACTTTGACACTTGAGTTTTATAGTTTTCTTTGTTTTCTCCTATTTGTCGTATGGGGAGTAGAATTTTCCATATATCGGGGACAGGTGATGAATCATTCCTATTACATGTATTTGCAGTTGATTCAATAAACAAAGCTTCTGTTATCAATCTCTCCCTATACCCTATGACATTAGATTTTAAAACTGTCATCCTATCCCATCCTATTGTATGGTTGTGTGTGACTGCATGTAGTACTATAGCTGAACTATTCTCAAGATTTCTTATCTTATTCGGGTCAACCAATCTAGATTTTGCTAAGTTCTTATGTTCAGCTAGTCTGACTGCTCTGTTCTACTAGTTTGACCTATGTATTTGACCTGACAATCATTTCACGCAGGGTATTAGATAAACTAAATTGTTTGTTTTAAAGGCTCTACAGGATCTAATTGAATTTTAGATTTTTCCCGTCGATTGATTGAACCGAAGTGCTCGGTCTCAGGTTGACATGTCGGCTTCTTGAGCAGACGCTTCGACGATGTCTGGGCATTTAATTAGTATTTAATTGGTGGATGGTGACTAGCAGTGGAATCCAGGATGCGCATTCCGTCCTGTTTGGGACTCGTCATCTGGATGTACCTGCATTTCTCAGTGATTCCACTGCTAGTCACCATCCTCCAATTAAATACTAATTAAATGCCCAGACATCGTCGAAGCATCTGCTCAAGAAGCCGACATGTCAACCTGAGACCGAGCACTTCGGTTCAATCAATCGACGGGAAAAATCTAAAATTCAATTAGATCCTGTAGAGCCTTTAAAACAAACAATTTAGTTTATCTAATACCCTGCGTGAAATGATTGTCAGGTCAAATACATAGGTCAAACTAAGAACAGAGCAGTCAGACTAGCTGAACATAAGAACTTAGCAAAATCTAGATTGGTTGACCCGAATAAGATAAGAAATCTAGAGAATAGTTCAGCTATAGTACTACATGCAGTCACACACAACCATACAATAGGATGGGATAGGATGACAGTTTTAAAATCTAATGTCACAGGGTATAGGGAGAGATTGATAACAGAAGCTTTGTTTATCGAATCAACTACAAATGCATGTAATAGGAACTGAGGTTATCAGTTTCTCGCATTTAATTAAACCATTTCTACTCACCTAGAAACAGCTTCATTTGACGTATCAGGTCCGCTGTGGATTTCCTAACCTGATTCATAACGGTGTCTAATGATTGCTTAATTTCCTCATATGGTTGTGTTTGTATGTGAGTATGGAATTTATCTGACAAGAGTTGGCTGTATTTACAAAGCGTTTAATTAAAGAATCGTTAACACACCGCCTGTTCACAGGTCTTTGTATTCGCCAACATTATCTGCATTGATCCAAACATAATCGGCTATCATAATAAAAACATTTCTGAAGAACTGGTAGGTGGATCATGCATGATTATAAAAAAGGATAGGTGCAAGTGAAAAATTTTTTTAAATCAAATTAAAAATGAGAAATTAAAACATTAATTAGCCATTTAGTTATATTAGGAGTAAAGGTCAGTTTTTGCATCGATTTGCGTGCAATGTACTTGTCATTTCGTTAGTTTGAATGACTCAAAAGGTCATTTTGAAGTGGTTAACTTGATCACTTAATACTTTGTCCAATATCAAATATGGTATTCCAATATTGATGGCTGACAGCAGAAGGATGAGCATCAGATGCACACAGAATGCAGCCACACAGTAATCGTCATCAAGTGTTCTGAACTGTGGTCTACCCAATGCTGCTTGACCACAAAGTAAAACAATCTAACAGACATTGAAGATGAAGAAAGGCAGGAGTGGAGCAAGTAATTGTCAGGAAATAATTTTGTATGAGATATTTCTCAACAATGAATACTGTAAAATACCTTCGCTTAATTTGTTTTCAATTATATATATTGGTCCACGCATCTCTGATCTACACAAATGCAATTAGTAGGCCTAGGTTAACCGATATCTGACAAAGTTGTGAACTGTTTTCATAACCATTTCTCATTTATTTTCAAGTGTTGGTTTTCAAGTTTGATCATGATAGAATCACTGAAAATCGACTAGGAAGTATTGTAAAATACACTGCTTCGTCCTTGTTTGGCACTCTTCACCACTACGTACCCATGAAGTTGTCAGGGGTCGAACGCAAGAGCATTAGATTATACGGTGATTTGTTGGTCGTTTAACCACTCGGCGATCGAATCTAATGGCCGGTCTATTGATTGGTATTTAATTAGATGATGGTTCTAGAGTCAGGTCGACTTCGTATAAGTCAATTTCGAAAGTGACCCAGAGTATCTGTTGCATTTTTAATATATTGATTATCATCCACCAATGAAGTCACTTTATTAAGTGACACGACACGCAAGAATGAATCATTTGAAGCTGATACCTTGTCACTTTATTCACTGATAATCACACACACTCAAAAGTTTATTTATGCATATACATATACTTTAGGTAACATAAATAGATAACTAAAATTGACTATCATTAGAAAAGACGACTTACAGGGATTCCTAATGCAGTCAATCCGATGCTGACAATTGCCAGTGCCAATTTATCCTAGAACAAGATTTGACAAGGCGTTAAGCGATTTCATGTAATAACACCAAGTGCTGTTAAGCACAAAATATACACAAACACATAATGGAGGAAATTTCTAGTTCAGGTGGATGATTTTGATGTAATTGTGTTCTCTGAGATGGATAGATGATTCGTGAAGCTTTCATTACCCTACTAGGCAACATCCTCATCATAGCGCATACTTCAATTTGAAGTGAGCTCTTAAAATTCTCCACGAGTTTATTAGTCAACCCCGCTGGTAACCATGAACGTAAAATTGGTTGTTTTTGTGTGTTTTCACACCGTCTAGGCTACTTGCCTTTAGTGAAAAGCCTTCAAATAGATGACGAAGAAGTAATGGTCTCCTTCAACGTCACATCATTAAATACATCAGATGGACAGAAACTAGCAAAAGAAACTGTGGAGCAGTAACTCAGCAACGACGAACACCTTCCACAACAATCAAAAAAGGCAATACGCAGGTTGGATGGAATGCATAAACCTTTACCTGACAACGTACTTCTAATTCAACGGCCAAATATAAGAACAAGTCAAAGGAACACACAGGAGATCGCCCACATCAGATTTGATCGCAGAAGCTGTGATACAAAGACTAGAAAACATAATCCTACCAAAGATCAAACCCAAAATTTGGATACGTTGGGTAGGTAACACATTTGCGACAATCAGAAGAAACAACTTGGTCAAGAATTACCACTTAATAAACAACATCGTAAATGACATCAAATTCACAGGATAAGAGGCATCCGGGGACAAAATTCTGTCAACCAACTCATGAAGGAGAAATACTCAATTACAACAGCGACAACGCAGTAGCACATAAAAAGAGGTGAATACGATCATTATTCAAGAGAACCAGGCAGAATTTCAGCACTCATAACCTGAGGAAAATTCAACAAAAATATCTCATGAACGTCTTCCGAAGGAACGGATATCCACGGAATTTCATCAAAATACAAATACTCCATACGACCGATTCAAATGCCCCCATGGACAGCACAGAGAATATCACCCTACCATACATAAAGGACATCTGAGAAATCACTGCAAGACTCTTCAAACCCTAAGAAATTGATTTCTCTCACACACCAACAAAATCACTTAACTCAGCTGGCTCTGTGTCAACTAAAAGGCTCAACAACGCAAGGAGATGAAACCAACACTGACTGCAAAAAACTACATTGGCCAAAGTGGACGACCTCTTCGTCATTGTATTCATGTAATTAAATTAGTCCTCCAAAGATGAAAATTCAACCCTTCCCTCATATCGCTGCATACAGATACATATGAACATCAATTCCACTTGGAAAACGTTCAAATATAAGACAGAGAAAGCATCAAGAATGCCAGAGAATTTTTAGAAGGCTGCCTGGTATTCCAGTGAATCGTCAAACAATAGACACATTGACATCGACAAGACTTCCCAGTCCATGAGAACGAGATCTCACACACAAGGGTTCAAAGTTCAGGTCAAGGAAGCAATCAATACCAATACACGCAAGCTAGAGGATCAGAAAATACACTGTAACAACCAATCACGACGTCCAATGTCACCGGGAGAGGTGACTAATAAACTCGTGGAGAAATTGAAGTATTCGCTGAGGATGTTGCGTAGTATGGCTATGCAAGCTTTGCAAATAAACTACCCAGCTCAGAGAACGCAATTACAGCGAAATTCACAAATATATTGGGGTTAAAACTGTTTGATGGTGTTGTTAATTGTGTACTGGTTAGTGACTTAAGGTTAGAATCTGACCATGACCTGCAGCTGAGTTATGCTGAGGTATAGAGCCCGCCTAATGCATCTCTGACAGTTTATTCGAGTCTTGCCCTAGACCGAAATGTTCACTTTACCAATGGTCATTACCCAATACGTGTGTATGCTTGCTTAAATCCCTGAGGTGCTTAAATCACCCATCCATCCAAATGCCTTGTACTTTTCTACGCTTCATATTGTCTTCATTACCCAAACACCACTGTGAATCACGGTCTGTACATGTGCATATTTTCAAGTCAGCATTTAACTATCCGTATGAATCTTATCGAAGGAAATGGATGAAAGGGATCGTGGAAGGAACAACACTGCTTCAGGTGATACACTATTGGTTTTAACTATGGGGTTCTACAGGGATTTAGGCTAATTTCAGTATGGATATCCAGTGATCCATGCATTCTAACTTTCTGAACTCGTGGTAAAGTGTTACCCCCAACTGAAGCCTTCGAATTACACTGAATTCACGTTGACATGATGGAACCCACTGGTCAGGACTTCTCAGTTCAGCTTCAGAACATCCATCTAGTAGGCATCGATGAGCTGGAGACTAATATTGAAATTATAGGCACAGTTAAGTTTCAAACGTCAGTAAATTCCGACTCAAGTGTCCGTGTATACAGCGAGCTTCGTATCATAATTTTATAGTCCCCGTTTCAATCCCTGGCGTCGACTTGATTCCCCGCTGCAAGAGAGTCCTAAACTAAGACAGAATAGATGCCCAGTGTCCCCTGGTTTTCAATGGTCACTGAATGACTTAATTGTTGACGAAATCAACGCTGAAATATTGGCAAATATCAGGTTACGGGAATATTCTGCATTAGGTTAAATCATCTTACAATGAAACAAGCTGGAAATTCTGTGTTGTGTTCTATTTCGGCACTCCTCAGTGGTACTCACCCGCTGAGATTCGGACACAGAACCTTATGACCAGATGGCGGGCTTGTAGACCATTCAGCAATTGGGACGCAATCCTGGTGTCAACTGTAGGCAATCAAATCTCCGCAAACCAACACTTAGTGTTTACATATATGTCTCTGAAACTGGTTTGATATTCAAGTATTGGTTTGTTGGGGTTCGACTGATTGGTTACAAGATTTCATCATGAGCTGACGCTGGTTAGAGAAGTAGGATGAAACAGCTGTGCAGTACTACCAGGTAGGTTCTCTAACCGATACCAGTTCATGATGAAATCTTGTCACCAATCATTCAGATCCCTACAAACCAATACTTGAATATCAATGAGATACTCACTAGCGATTGGCCCTATTCAGGTAGGTAGTAGTTACCTGGCGTCCTAGTGGAAAGTCGTGACCAGTAGAGTGCAGCAAGTCGGGTGTGAGGACAAATACTCGCCGACAATGACATTGGCTAGTGTTTGCGCTATGTCATGAATTGGCAAAAGTTGAAATTCATGGTTGAGGTCCCAGTTGCTTAATGGTTCACAAGCTCGCCTTATAACCAGATCGTCCTGGGTTCAAACTACAGTGAGTGAGTACTGTGAGCAGTCCCAAGCTGGGACGAAACAGCTGTTCACTACTCCCTGTTGGTTCTACACTGGTTTTCTAACCGATGTTAGCTCATGATGAAATCCTCTAACCAATCTGGTTTGAGTTGTCACTCATTCACCCATCTCTTTGTAAAAATTAACTCAAATAAAAACTTCTGAGGACATTAGAGGGTATTGAGGTGGTTTTGGGTTTTTCAGTTGAATAAGGCAGTTTTGGAGTTAATTTTGTGGATATTCAGGGTTTCTGAGGCTTTGGCGACGTGTCTTGATTCGACAAACATTTTACATTATGTTGCCCCAAAAAGTACCAAATCTGCCGAAAATTTTTTATGCGAGTAATTAGCTAAATCCGATCAGCTGGCCGGAAAGAATCACCAACAAGAAACTATGGGAACAAACAAAACAAGAACCAATCGCCCAACAAATATGCAGGAGAAAGTGGAGATGGATTGAACACTCGCTGAGGACGCCGCTGGGTGACATCGTGCTTTAGTCCCTCGAGTGGAACTCGAAAGAGAATCGGTGAGTGGGACGTCCAAGGGTGACATGGAGGAGATCGTGTGAAGAAGAGTTGAAACAGTATGGACTAACATGAATGCAAGTGAAAAGTACAGCAGAAGACAGAAGCAAGTGGAGACGTCCAGTTGAAGCCGTGTGTTCCACTAGGAGCCCAAGGGAACAATAACAATAATAATTAGCTAAATCCAGCTTGGTAAATAATAAATTATGAGCTGAACCATTGAAAAACCAGGGAGTACTGGATAGCTGTTTCGTCCTAGTTCGGGACTCTTGACGGTTCGCATCCAACAGGGTTCCAGCTCAGGACCTTCTGATTACTAACGGAAAAAGTGTAATTATTTCATTTTATCTTAAATTTATTACAAACATAAAATATTTCACATTTTCATTGTACACTTACAAGTCCTGTCCCATAGTGGACACCAATTGAAACAGCAAAAGTTACAACCAAGACAGTAACATAGTATATGAAAACTGCAATGTAGTAACGACGCAGATCAATTGGTAGTGTTGCACCTATTGTGATTAGTAAGATGTACAATACCACAGCTGATCGCGTCACTATAAGTCCCCATGTAAGCGTTTGCCCAATGAACGGTATTCCTGTGAGTACAGATGCTAATATCGTCTATAAAATAGAAAATCATAATGTTTGAGTATACTAGAAAATTATTTTGATCAAAAAATATTCTGTCTGTCACCTTATCATTTATTATCATTCTTGATGTGCCTCAGGGGGACATCTGGCTTCAAGAGTTTTTGACGTTTTGCGAAGCTTTCATCAACCTACTAGGTGACATCCTCGCCTCAGTGCATACTTCAATTTAAATTGAGCTTTTAGATTTCTCCACGAGTTTATTAATCATCCCTCCTGGTGACCTGACCTTAAACGTGATTGGTTGGTTTTGTGTATTTTCACATCCTCTGAGCTGCTTGTATTGAAACTGATTGTTTCCTTGACTTGAATTTCTACTCTTTGTGTGTGTGAGGTTTCCTTCTTATCGATTGGTAAATTTTGTCTATTTCGATGTGTCTATTGATTGACGATTCACTGGTATACCAGGCAGGCTTCCAAAAATTCTCTGCCATTCTTGGTATTTCCTCTGTCTAATATTTGAACGTTGTCCCAGTTGAATTGATGTTTGTGGTTGTCTGTATGTAGTGATATGAGAAAGTGGATGTCATGTCACATTTACAACCGATAAGAAAGAAACCTCACACACAAATTTCAAGCCAAAGAAATAATCAGTTCTAATACAAGTAGCCTACAGGGTACAAAAACAAACGAAAACAACCAACTACGTTTAAGGTCAGGTCACCAGGAGAGGTGACTTATAAACACTCTTGGAGAAATCTAAAAGCTCACTTCAACGAATTGAAGTATCCGCTGAAGATTTCGCCTAGTAGGGTGATGAAAGGTTTGCAAATAAACTATCCAGCTCAGAGAACACAACCACATCAAAATCATGCAACTGAGCTACAAATCTTCTCCATCATATCTATAGGGTAAGGCTGCTAGACTCACCCTCAGCCTTCCCTCTGTCCCAGAGTTACTATCTCCTGGCAAGCTGAGTGATGCTCCAAAAGGGCACCGGACAGGAATCAAATCCGGATCTTCCGTGTGACTGCCGATCATTTCATCACCGAACCACTGACACAATCTCCATATCATGGCGCGATACCTTGAATGAAGTGTTGGTCGGGAGCGATTCTATGCGAGCACTTATGACTTATAACCAGCCTTCATCATGATTGTTGTCCTAATATGGTGTCACATTCTGTTTTAGTGAATAATGCCTCAGATGTCATCCAGAATTGTTAGTCACATTAAAACGGAATATTTTGATATGACTAAGGAATTTCAGTGATGTGAAACATTCCTTAGAATATAACATAGTTCTACACTCGATATATATCTAAAAAGCCGGCTGATATCTCAAAATTAATTTCATGCAAGTGTACTGCCAGTTTCGATTGTATGATTGTCAGCTATACACTGATACTGTAGATTTTTGACTTTAAAAATGATTGCGAATTGGAATGACTAATCCTTCACAATCTAGAACTTGATTGTTGTAAATTTCTAACATCAACTAATTTATGAATTATCGAAATCTTATTGATTTACTTTCCCGCTGACTGATTGAACCAAAATTCTTGACTTCAGGTTGAGATGTTGGCTCCTTGTGTGTAGATGCTTCGGCGATATCTGAGGATCAGTTTCAAGCAATTTGGTGAATAGTGACTAGTAGTGGAATCCAGGAGTCGCACCTCGTCCACTTTGGGACTCGTCAGTTAGACGCGTCTGTATTCCGCAGTGAGTGATGGTGACCCCACTGGAGCTCAATCCCAGTAATCGTAGTTTCAAACACCAGAGCGCTACGCATTAAACCACTTGGGCCATGAGAGCTACCTACTGTGCAACGGGTGTCAGCAGTTATTCAATTTAATTTGGGAAAACTATGACTGTGTAGGGAATGCAAATACATCCAGTTGATGAGTCGTGACTAGGACGAAATGCTGGTCATGGATTCCCCTATTCGTCACTATCCACGAAGTATTTCTCAGAACTATCTACTTTACTCCGAACAAACTAAAAAATATATTTCCCAAAGTTCCCTTCAATTGGTATTATATGACTAATCAAATAGTTGGAGATATTAAATGCTTCAGATATTACTAATCTAACAAAAGTAATATATATATATAAATGTTTGCAAGAATAATAAATTTATACATTCATACATGTAACATCATAAAGAATAAATTCAATGGAAATTTTGTTCTCATCGTATCTAATATGGCCAACAGAATCAACAATATCGCCTCAACAGGCCCACTGAAATGAAGAGAAATCAGGGAATGTCTATATCGGATATATGATTGATAAAAAAAACATGAAATTAAGAATAAACATTGATGAATTAAATGATTTTGTATGAATAATGTTGGGGTGATCCTGTTAACTTATTATCAGAGTTGCTTTGGATTCCACTGTGTTATGTATGATTTATGTTGCCAGTTGAAATGAACTTGTCGCCAATTGATATGATAGCGTTGACACCTGGTTTGACCAAGTGGACTCATACACGTGGGGGTACGGTACTACCAACGCAATGAGCAACTCAGCTAATCTGATAAGTACATGTATTCACCCGTGCTACCTTGCGGTTCACTGAGCCACGTAAATATGAGAACAAAAGACTGACCTGTGTGACTGTTAGGATACAATTTTACTAGGGAATCACTAGTCATATTTATATATCTTTTGTCAACACAATAAAATCCGCCAAGGGCAGCGGAAATGGATTGTTCTGATTAGTAGGCGATTCAGCTAACGTTGGCGACAAATTAATACTCTGATTGACTGGCGATTTGACCAAGATTAAGGTAAGAAAGGGATGATGACATTCGACAGTCAACCAATCACACGATGAATTCTATGATGATTTCTGTTTTAAGACGATTCCTATGACCCTGTCTGATGTTATACATCCTTCGATTCGCTAACTATTACACAGAAGAAAACCTCATGCAATTGTCAAAATGCCAACAGATTATGGAAACGCCGAGGGCTGTATAGTAGTCCTGCAGCTAATGAAGTGCTTGACTTAGGAGAGTGCTTCCATTGCCCGCTTTTGAGAAGTTTTCAATGAATTAACTAACTTGCACGTAGAATTATCACTTTCTCATTCGTAAGAAAAACTGCGAACCTATGCGTCTCAGTGTTTTAATATTTCACATGATTTATCGCGATTTATTATCTGAAAATGCGTTGTATTTTGTGGCGATATGGACTGCAAAATACATCGTCGTTAATTTGTAGAGCATACCACTTTCATTTCATTCATTGGGTTCATTGAAAACATCTGAAGAATTTTCGCCAACTCATGCGTTTCCCTGTATTCCGTCTGGAGATTTATTACTTTGAATATTCATTAAGTAGTTACAAGAGCCATGCGTCTTGTCTATCTTTTGATGCAAAGTGAATTCTACCAGATACGTTTGTAATGTGGTCATCAATTTAGGTGACTCACTATCGTGATTCACTCTGAAATGTTGATAGATAGTTGGAAACAGTCGGCAGGAAGCCACTGACCTCAGTTTCATGTTTGTTGGCACTCATCAGATGGAAATTTCCGAAATCTTAGATTAGCTCACTTTGTACCTCAGATTCGAACCCATGTGCTGCAGTTAGTGACGTTGCCAGTGAACCTTACTGATGAGTCATAATAAGTACGAAATCTAGATCCAGTGTTTCCTGCCTATTTCCACCAGTCATCTGACTTCAATTCAAGGATGTATTAGGCTAAGTGAAGTTTAACAATCATGTTCAGTCGAAAACAAGACAAATTTGTGCTAAAACTTTTGAAAGATCTAACTAGATCTAAGATCTAGTTTCGGAGAGTGTGATGCTCTTTCCATTAGCTGTTTCTTTCATCGAAAATAGACAGCTCTCAGATATGCATATCGTTCTCTGTATTGTAAACGACTGAACACTTCACTTTCATCTATTTCCGCCTAACGTGATATCATGTTTAAAGTATAGTTTACAAACACAAACTTCACTAAGCTTGAGACGTCAGTATCACAAATCAAATGAATCTATGATCTGACAGAAACAATAAAATCACTCTATAAAATAAAACATTAAAAGAAAAACATTCTGAAATGGTAAATGCATTGGATGGCAAATTCTCAGTACACAGTGATGGATAGGAGGTAAATTGGCAGCGAAGTTGATTCCGTTTTTGGTCTGAAAAGTAAGCAGTTAGTTATTCTGGTCGACCTACATTTGTGTCATTGCAAGTGGTATGGGTGTAGTGATGATGGACATCAGAATAACGAATAATAGTACCTGTAATTAGCGGGCAACTTCATCAAGGAGTTACGTTGGCTCACCTTTTTCATGTACTCATCCATAATTTTTTGAATTGTAACGTATATATTCAATGCTCTTCTAATACTCTTCTTATCTCCACTGACAATTCTATCAAATTCTGGAATGATGAATAAATTGATGTTCATTTTTGGAATAAAAGTGTATACTACTGATTGATTGTAGTGAGTAATCGCTTAACACTCATATCAACTAGCAGTGCTTGCTAGTTAGGTTGAGGTGATCAAACCACCGAAAAGCCGTTCTCCTCATTTGGGGCCATGCTCATCAGCGGTGTATCCAGTTTGACTCATCTCATACAGCCGAATCAATTCAAACCACTGGATCTCCGAATAGCTACTTAGGCGAACTGGTGTAATCACAAGTCAAATTCACACTTTGGCATGACCAGTTCGCTGAAGTAGCTAGCTGGAGATCCGGTGGTTTGAAAACATTTGGCTCTGTAAGATGAGCCAAACCGGGTATACCTCTGGTGATCTCAGCCCTAAAATGAACGATACACCTGTTCTGTATGTTGGGATCACTTCGAAGTGGCTACAAAGCAATATTTACTCATGCGAGAGATCAACAACTACTAATCTCAGCAGATATGCTTGTTATCTTGCTGATCATCTATGGGGTCAAACACATCACGTACTGTGTTGATCTGGCTAACTTGATTTCCAAAGGAAACTACAGTGAAATTTCACCTCTTGAACTGTGTAGATAGCAAATTGCAAACCAATCTG